TGAACTTTCTATTTCATATCATCTATGCGGTGATGGAGAAAATAAACTGAAGTTGTAAGGGACCTTTAAGAAATGTCTGTTTCGATATTGCCTGGCCTTGATGACTTGGTGAAGGAGACTGAGAACAGCAACCCCTGGACTGTTTGCCTCAAGGCTTGTTGATTCACTGGGTGTCTCCAGTTGCAAAGATAAGGAGGCCCCATAGTCCTCCACCCAAATCCTCCAGCTAACAGACAGTGCCCGACATTCCAAGGTAATGAGGCACCACTGTCCACCACCTACACCCACTGGCTGCAGAGCCCTCTGCTAGATGATAATAGACATCCACTCCAGCTGCCTAGACCACAAGGCACCACTGTCCACTACTGTCCATGACTGATATCAGAGGCTGGGAGTTGGTCACCTCCACCTCACCTCACACTCACCACAGAGAAAAGACAGCTATGGATCATCAGAATGCTGCTGGACCTATGCTAGTGACTATCTCTACGGCACTATCCCAGATATTTCGTGCTTCTCCCCCTTTTCTGTTTCTAACTTTCCCACAGACCCTTCTCTCTCTCCCCTGAGTAGCCAAAAATAAAGTCTCACTCTGTAAGGGTATTTTGACCTCATTTGTGTCTAATTCACACTGGGGGAATCGATCGAACACTCCTGAGTCTTACTGGACCGGGACAGAAGTACCACCTACATTTTAAAGCAAACCTCATATTCCATCCTCATCGAGCAATCAGCAATGACCAGTGCAGAAAGATGGAAGATTTCAATTATTATCTTTGTTACTTGGCTCCTAAAGTTTTTTACAGCAATTTCAAAACCTTTCATCCTATCAGTTCAAACAAATATGTCATCTGATGATTAAAGAAAGACTGTTTAATTTATCCTGTCTTATATGTTTAGTTGAAAAGAAGATTAACTGAACAGTGTTAAAGAACATAAGGAGCTTCCTTTAGCATGTGCTAAAGAATGCGTTCTACAGAAACATATAATTTGTTGTTATATAATTTGATTGAATGTGCAGATGTAGGATATTAAATTAAAGATTATTCCTGCAAATTGTGGTCAGATATCATTCTCTGCATACCACCATCCAGCCAGTTCATTATCCACGTCGGTGACAAGGAGAGTGGGCTTGAGTGCTCCCTCATCAAGTTCCCTGCGGCACCAAGCTGTGTGGGGCAGTCGACATGCTGGAGGGAAGAGATGTGCCATCCAAAGGGACCTTGACAGGTTTAAAAGGTGGAACAATGCAAACCTCACGTAGTTTAACAAAATGAAGTTCAAGGTCCTACATCTAGGCTGTGGCAACAGCAGGTACAGCTACAGGTTGAGTGGGGAAGTAATTGAGGCCAGCAGTGAGTGAGGAGAAAGACTTGGCAGTGACAGTGGATGAGAAGCTCCCCATGAGCTGCAGTGTGAGTTCAGTCCAGAAAGCCAGTTGAGTCCTGGGCTGCATCCAAAGGAGTGTGGGCAGCAGGTCAAAAGAGGTGATTCTTTCCCTCTGCTCTTGTGAGACTGACCTGGAATACTGTGTGTAGTTCTGGTGCCCTCAACATAAGAAGGACATGGAACTGTTGGAGCAAGTCCAGAGGAGGCCATGAAGCTGATAAGAGGACTGGAGCATCTGCCTTATGAGGACAGGCTGAGGAAATTAGGGCTGTTCAGCCTGGAGAAGAGAAGACTGGGCAGAGACCTCAGAAGTTTTCAATATCTGAAGGGCCTACAAGGGAGCCGGAGAGGGACTCTGTGTTAGGAACTGCAGTGATAGGACAAGGGGTAATGGGTTCAAACTGAAGGAGAGGAAGCCTAGGTTGGATGTGAGAAAAATGTTTTTCCCTGTGAGGGTGGTGAAACAGGCTGCCCAGGGACATGGTTGCTGTCCCGACCCTGGTGGTGTTCAAGGCCAGGCTGGATGAGGCTGTGAGCAACCTGATGTAGTGAGGAGGTGTCCCTGCCCATGGCAGGTGGTTGGGACTAGATGATCTGTAAGGATCATTTGAACCCCTAAATTCTATGATTCTTTCCTGAGCTCAGATTTCGCATTCCCAGATATGCCAATTATGATACCACACTTTGCAACAGCTGGTGTGTTTCTTTCTTCTGAAACACGTATATATTCCCTCTTACACTTTGTTATACTGTCACAGTAAGAAGTAAATTTGAATAGCAATTTTAAAATGCCACAGTTTCTGAAGTAGTTGCTTCTAAAGATAATAAATACTCACATAGAAAAGTTTTTTCCATGTTGTTAGATTCTAATTCTTCCCTCATGGCATAATGAACCTACATAATGAACCTACATAAAGAGGGTGTGCTTTTGATGTAAATTAAGTTATACACAGTGAAATCGCCACAGGTTGCTCATGATTTTTCAGGTACGATTAGGTTTTATGTTGGGGTAGATGCAGGTCAGGTTTTGAAGTGTTGTTCAGGAAAAAATATTACCCACTGCAGTAGCTAAAACACATATAGAGTGGGTACTGCCAGAGAAATCAGAAGTCCTCAGAGAGGCACCTAGTAAAACTGACAAATACTGAGTGAAATGGACTCATTAAGAGGTAAAGTGTTGGTTTCTAAATAGGGTGCAGGTTAGTTAGATAAAACCCAAACAGAAAACCTCTAAAATGTCTGA